AGGTTGCGCCCCAGACTCAGTGGGGGCTTGACAGAACTTTCAAAGAGATGGCAGCGGAGATCTTCTCAGGGTCCCGCTGGACAGAGATAGTCGCCCGCGGGTGGCTTAATACTTCGGAAGACATTTTGGTCTACGAGTCACGTGCCCTCTTGCGAGCTGTAGAGATTGTGCAGCCTGTCACTGCGAGAGGGCGAGCATGTCGTCGTCATGAGCGACAACCTGCCAGCAGTGCTGTGCTTCGAGAGGAGGAGAGCAAAAAACTTCACTGTCCTCTCATGCATTCGTCGGGCCGTCGCCCTGTGCCTCTCCCTCAACAAGCGCCTGCGCGTGAGATGGGTTCCGAGCGAGCTCAACCCGAGTGACGAAGGCTCTAGGCTGTGCGACCCGAGCTGCGACCCCGGTAAGACCCTGGTGCACTCTTGGGAGGCTTCTGAGGACTACGGCAAGATACCAGTGAATCGTAGGCTACCCCAACATGTACATGAGCAGGATCATGCGCGCACCAAGACGATGCACTACTGCAAGCACGTGGATACGGAGAACTGCAAGCACGACAAGTTTGGCAGAGAATGAGAGCACGAACAAGCACACAGTCTTGGGCCTCACCAGTACCTCAGCTACTACACGCTCGAGCCCCAGAACAGCTCCGCAGGCCCTCAACGAGCCCACCGAGACCCCCGGCACCCTTGATCCTCAGGACCTCCACGAGCCCCAGAGGAGCCAGCCTGCCGCCGTCGCCACCTCGGCTCCCGAGTGCGCCCCCACGGAGGACCTCCGGCGACCTGCCGCGGCGGTGGGCGATCGCGGGTGCGACGATCAGTGTGCCCATGGCGGCTGGCCCGCCGACAGGCCGCGGGCACTGTCGCCGCCTGGCAGCGCCGCTGCCGGCAGGAGGCAGCGCGCCCGCGCATGCCGCGCCCGAGCCGCTTGCGAAGCGCTCGCGGGTGCTGCCGCCCGGGCCGGAGGGCCTGCCGAGCGGGCCACGGGCGCCAGCCAGCCGGACGCGGGCGCTGGGAGCGCCCCGGGACGGCACGCGGCAGCGGCTCACCCTGGCCCCGCCCGCCTCGAGGGCCGCGGCGCGCGACCTGGAGGCGAACTGCAGCCCGACGGGCGACGGCGAGGGCGAGAGCGACGCCGCGACCGTGGCCATCGAGGCGGAGGCAGCTCGCGCCCGGCAGCTCCGCCAGACAGCCCGGCATCGCGCTCGGGCAGTCGCCCAGGCCAAGGCGTCGCCCACTCTGGTGGGGCTGACGCTGCTGGAGCGCTCGGCGGTGAGGCTGGGCACGGAGACGCGGTGCCATGTGGAGCTCGAGGCCTTCATCGACGCCGCCGGGGAGCGCCAGCTCGTCGTGGACAGCGAGGTGGACGATGCGCTCGTGCACTACATGAACGGGCTATACGAGTCGGGCCACCACTCGAACAAGGGCGACGTGTTGCTGTCGGCGTTGCTGCACTTCCAGCCCCAGTATGGCAAGCTGGGGGGATCGCGCCTCCCTCGGGCTTGGCGATGTTTGAAGGGGTGGCGCCGGAGATGTGGGCGGCGCTCGAGGAACCCGGTCGTCCGCATGATATGATCAGCGGTCGTCTGGGACCTCTGCTGCCGGGGGTGCTGGCTCATGGGTTTGCACAACGTACCACCGCCCAGGCGAGCCGCTCGCAATCCAGCGCCAGGATCTCATCCAGCCAGTAGAGGGGGGCTCGAACGATTGGGGGGTGCTGCTGTTCCCGCAGTCGAGGGCGGCCACCCGCAAGAACCAAATGCAAGACGAGGGGATCAGCCTCACCAACAAGCTGTTCCCGTGGCTGCCGCGGGTGAATGCGGCGCTGGCCCCGGGTCCTCCAGAGTCCCTTCATGCACAGCTGCCCCGAGCTGGTCGCGCGGCAGCTTGGTGTTGTACCAGTGCCGACGCTCGGGGGCCTCGCTGGACCTGCAGAGCCGCCACCGCGATCACATGGAGCTGAAAAAGCGAGGCGGGTGGCAATGCGAGAGCTCGCTGAAGAGGTACGAGAACGCCGCCAAGCTGAACCTCTCTGCCGCCCGCCTGCTTCCTTGGCAGGTGGCTGCCTTCCGAAAGGCGGACCAGCAACTCGAGGCGCTCTTCTTCGGCCGCGCGGCCGCCCTGCCCTTTGTGGTTCCGTGAGTCAGCGCCAGTACTTCGCCGACCTGTTCTGTGGCGAGGGCGGCGTCGGGAAGGCGCTTGTGCGCCGTGGCTATCCTGCGCGACTCTGGGACCTTCGCTACAGCCGGAGCCTGGATCTCACCGATCATGCCGTGCTTCGCCGCCTGGAAGAAGATGCCAAGAGCGGCTTGATTCTTGGCGCAGCGATCGCAACGGAGTGTACCAGTTTTCCGATAGCAAGAATGCGGACTCGTTTCATCAGAACCTCATCGCAGCCCTGGGGAGTGACAGACCGGTCAGACTTCAGTGTGAATGATCACGCCGCACTGCAGCGCGGCAACAAGCTGCTCAGGGCAACCCTCCGTATTATTCGTGTGCTAGATTTTTGCCAGATAATTTGGTTTTTAGAGAACCCCTACAGCAGCATGATGTGGAATATTCCTGCGTTGCGGCGGCGGGCTCAACGTGCTGCCGCTCAGGTCTCACTAGATTTTTGCATCTACGGGGCGCGATTGCGCAAGAGGACTCATTTTCTGTTCGGGAAAGTAAGCGATGCGTGTCTAGGGCCCCTGCGCAACCGACACTGCTGTGGGAAAGGATGTTGTTTTTATAGCGGCCGCCCACGCATCGAGTTTGGCGGCCCACGCCCCAGCAGAGGCGTCCCGTGGACAAAGGTGGCCGGACCTTATCCTGTAGGTTTGTGCCGCGACCTCGCCGCCGGTCTCATTGCTGCTAGTTATCAGAGAACACCTTCTTGTTTCGGGAAGTGATTTGGGATGTTTGTGGTGGCCGTCTTGCTAAGCACAGACCGCCATGTGGCCACGCCTCCGGCTGCTTCCGCTGCCGGCCGAGCTGCGCCTGTCGTGCCGCGTTCTTCGAGACAGATTTCTCTGCTCAAAATGTTGGGAATGGAGCCCTACCAGACATAGGAGTGCTTTCACCTGATTGTCTGGGCCGCTCCATGGCTTTTGATCTTTCTCAAGTGCACCCGTGGCCTGCCCTCCGCCATCAGAGTGCGCTTCTCACTGTCCTTCAGCCTCGAAGCAATTTTGTGGTGGCCGTCTTGCTAAGCACAGACCGCCATGTGGCCACGCCTCCGGCTGCTTCCGCTGCCGGCCGAGCTGCGCCTGCCGTGCCGCGTTCTTCGAGACAGATTTCTCTGCTCAAAATGTTGGGAATGGAGCCCTACCAGACAAACCAGTGTTTTTAGTGTGTTCTGGTCTTCCTGGAGGACGTCTTGAAGGCCTCTTGGGCCGTCTTGGGCCAGCTTCGAGCCAACTTCGGCCATCTTGGTGGGCTCCTGGCCCCTCTGACGCCGTCGGAAGCCGTTTGGGGGTCCTCTCTGGGCCGACTTGGGGCCCTCTTAGGGTGCTCCAGGGCGGTCTCAGAGGCCATCTTGGTCGTCTTGGAGGCCTCTTGGGTCGTCTTTGTGTCCTCGAGGGGCCGTCTTTGGGGCCTCTTGGGCAGTCCTGAGGCCATTTTTGAAGCCTCTTGGGCGCTGTGGGGGCGATCTTGGGGGTCTCTTGGGCCGTCTTGGGTCGTCGGAAAGCCGACAAGAAGCGAATGCCCAAATCCTTCAAAAACCGAAGGACAATCAATGATTTTGGCCTCTTCGGGCCCTCCTGGAGGACCTCTTGGAGGCGTCTTGGGCCGTCTTGGAGGCGTCTTGGAGACTTCTTGGGCGAACTTGGAGGTATCTTGGACTCTGTGAGGCCGTCTTGGAGGCCATCTTGAGCCGTCTTGGAAAATTTTTTGCGGAGGTTGAGGTTGTTTCCGGTCCTGGGAGCTCCTTCCGGGACCCCGGCGGGACGGGCCGAAGCCCCAGGGGGAGTTCTTCTGGAAAAAGAGCCCAAACCAAATCCGAAATCATCTAGCACGCCAGGCACCCTTTCGATGAATCGACAGGGGGCGGCGGATAATGGCCTTCGGCCCATGCCGCCACCGTGCCTGGGTTGTGGGTATGAGGGGGGCCTTTCGGGGACTTCGGAGGCAGTTTGGAGGCAGTTTGGAGTCTTCTGGGGGGTCGGTTTGGGGCCTCGTTTGGGCCTCTTGGGGCTTCTTGGGGGCCTCTTGTGGGCCTTTGCGGCCGCGTGGGCGCCGCTTGGGTCCTCTTGGGGGTCTCTTGGGGCAGAAGGCTCGAGTTTTCGGTTCGTGCTTCCTCTTTTTGGCCCTTTTTGGGGCCGTTTTCGGGTCCTTTTGGGCCATCTTGGGTGTGTCTTAGGCCGTCTTGGGGCATCCTTAGGCCGTCTGGGAGCTCTCTTTGAGGCCTCTTTGGCGTCTTGGAGTGGTCTTAGAAAACTCTTGGGCCGTCTTGGAGCGTTGGAAAAGCAAAACGACGAGACGCCCAAATCTTTCAATACCCAAGGAACAAAAAAGAATTTATGTCTTTTGGGGTCTTCTTGGGAGTCCTCTTAGAGGCCTCCAAGGGGCCATCTTGAGGCCATCTTGGGCGTCTTAGGCCGATCTTTGGGCGTCTCGGGGCCCTCTCGGACCGTCTTGGGGGCTTCGCGGGGTCCTCTTGGCCCGTCATCGGGCCCGCTCGGGCCTGAACAAATCATGCGACAACACTTCCCGGAACCCAAGGGGCACACGGGACGCCCCTGGTGGCACGCGGGAATCCCCAGTATGTTTGAGAGTTCAGGTTCCGGGCCCCTTGACGACCAGGAGTGAAGACTGAAGCCTAGAGGGTTAGGCCTAGGACCTGAGGACACGCCCATTCCGTGCCCAGAGGCACGGTGGCGGATATACACTGCAGGATTTTGTGCTACATGTGCGGGTCGCACGTGCGGCCCCAAGAGAAGCACACAGTGCCAGCATGTCCCTTCTGCGCTTCATGTCGATTTGGAGCCCCCCCGAGATCGCCCCGAGACGGCCCCCGAGGTTCGCCGCCCTCGCAGCGGCCAGTGCCCACGGGGGATCTGCCGCCCACGCAGCCGCAGATGCGGCCCGGCAGTTCGTGCGGGCTCCCCGCCTCGGGCCCGGGGGGAGATGTGGCGGGGGAGGACGGACGGGGAGTTGGGGGAGGGCAACGACAGGAGGGGATCCAGGGGGTGGTGGTGGATTGGGAACGGGTGACGAGGAGGAGGAGGAGGAGGTGGAGGAGGAGGAGGAGGAAGAGGAGGAGGAGGAGGAGGAGGAGGAGGTTGAGGAGGAGGTGGAGAAGGCGGAGGTGGAGGAGGTGGAGGGATTACAATCACACCCCGTGAGTCCGAAAGGCTGATCGACATGGAGGGCGGCTCTGGATCGCCTGCGGATGAGGGCCACTTGACGCGATATTCGCCACCGCCTTGGATCGATCAATTCTGTTCGGCCAGATGATTCAGAACTCAGGCTGGTCCGTGAAAGCTCGACGTAATTGCTGTCCTCGGTCTGACGAAGCGTAGCTTAGGAAGTTGGAGGTTAGATGTGAGGAGGAGGGAGAGGAAGATGAGTGAGGATGGGGTATCCTCTTCGTCACTGCTGGAAATAATAATGAGGATGAGGAGAAGGAGGATGAGGAGGCGGAGGATGAGGAGGGTAATGATGAGCAGGAGAAGGATGAGGGACGAGGAATGACTCCATGTTTGCGTTCAGTTAAATGAGGATGAGAGTAGGAACAAAAAAGAGAAACTGGAGGAGGGGGAGGAGTCATAATCTGTCCGACAGAGGGAGGGAGGAAGTTCGAAGAGAAGGATTTGCACTATGTATGTGTGTGGGTATGTGTGTGCAGGTATCGTTTTTGAGCGTGTTGCTCCTGCAGTCAATGCCTTTCTGCGTGCTGTGGAGAAGCGGGGCAATAGTACACGAATTTCATTCTACGAAGCGTCCAGCATGGCTATACCCAATTCTTGCGTCACGGATGCCCTGAGCAGGCTAAATCATGGTCCTAGTTGCACAATGCCGTCAGCCACCCATCCCGAAAGTGCATGGTCGATGAGGCGAAGGGAGAACAAGGCGGGAACATCACAGTAATAACGGTTGTGATGCCGTACTGCTAGTGATGCCGACGGTGTTCCAG